GCACCACATGCCAGCCAGCCCTGCCCCCTGGTGGGCTGAGCTGGCCACACACACACACACACACACACACACACACACACATAAATAAAATTAAAAAAAAAATTTTAACTGTTGCCTCTAGTTATAATGATACAATCTTCGTTAAGACTTACAGTTGGGCATGATGGTGAACACCTGCAATTCTAGCACTTGAGCGGCTACAGGAGGAGAATTTCTCGGAGGGAATTGAAGGCCAGCCTAGACTACATATTGTTTAAAACCAGTCCACACTACATGGTGAGATCCTGTCTGAAAAAACAAAAGGTTTATAGAAGCCATTTATGGTTATATGCCACTTCGTAGAACTAGTTATTTGGTCCAAAGCTGCAAAATGTAAACTTTATTCTACGAAGATTATACACTCAGTAACTTAAAAAACATAACTTTTTAACTCATACCTTGTTTTTAAAATAGGCACTTTTGGTTTGAACAGTGATCACTAATGTGGACTAGGACTAGAGATAATTTTTTGTTGTATTTTATTGTCTAAATTTGGTAAGTCTTGGCCCAGTAATTTTGTTACGTTTATGAACTAGTTTTTCAAAGTATTGACATCAGTAGGCACTGCTAGAGAGGATAGAATTTTTCCTGTCTCAGATCCCCCCCCCACCCCCAGAACTGGGGAATGAACTCAGGACCTTGTGCTTGCCAGGCAAGCGCTTATTCTATGGTGCTATCTCCCCAGTCCAAAGACTTTTTTTTAAAAATGTTTTTTATTTATTTATTCATTTATTTTTTGTGGTACTAGGGATTGAACTCAGGACCTTGCACTTGCCAGGCAAGCACTTATTCTACTGAGCTATCTCCCCAGCCCTGTTTTAGATTTGTTTGTGATTATTTATGGCCACATTTGAATTACTTTGAGCTTGATAGAATGAATGTTACATTTATTTTCTTTTTAAATGACTTTATTTGTAGTATCTCTGGCTCTGTAGAATATATTGTTACCTGATTTTCCTTTTAGGACCTCTATGTTAACATAGTGATGATTTCAGAATATTTCTAGTTGACACATAAGTTTGTGGTACCCTAGAAAAAGATAATGTGAAAATATAATTTAGAAGTAACTGGAAGTAATGAAAATCCTTTCTACTAGAGATTTGTTCTCTGTAAAGGATAGTTAACAGGAATACACATTGAAAGTGCTGATTTTCCGCCAGGTGTGATGGCACAGACCTGTAATCAGGAAGCTGAGGCAAGAGGATTCAAAGCCCACCTGGGCTAGATAGTGAACTGTCAAGGCCACCCTGAAATACATAGCGAGACCCTGTCTCAAAAACAAAACAAAACAAAACAAAACAACCAAAAACCCAGTACTGATTTCCAGTATTACATTGAGAGATTATTTCTGGATAGAAATCAAATCCATAGATTTTTGTGGCATCTATTAGGTAGTTCTGGGGGTATAATTCTTGTAGATCAATATGCACAGAAATGATGCCATTTAACTTTATTTTTTTTTAAACATTTATTTATTTATTTATTTGTGTGTGTGTGTGTGTGTGTGTGGCCAGCTCAGCCCACCAGGGGGCGGGGCTGGCTGGCATGTGGTGCTGGGGGATTGAACCGCGGTCCCTGTGCATTGCCAAGCTTGTTTCAAGTAGGTGCTTTAAACCACTGAGCCATCTCTCCAGCCCCGCCATTTAACTTTAAATTGAAAATGGCAAATATTCAAGAAAGCAAAACTGATTAAAAAGATTTTTTTTCCCCCCTCAGAACCGGGGATTGAACTCAGACCCTTGCACTTGCCAGGCAAGCACTTACTCTACTGAGCCATCTCCCCGGTCCCGATAAAAAGATTATAGAGATGCTTTAAGTTAGTGTCTTTTACCTATAATCAGATTAGAATATTCAGATTACTTTGTGTGTACTTTAGTGTGTGCATATTTTTAAATCAGAAGAAAACAGTGTATATCAGACTTGTAAGCAGGTTCTTTCCTGTATTCTTGGTAGGTGGCTTTCCTGGAGCGATGCCTGGTAATTTTCCAGGAGGAATGCCTGGGATGGGAGCGGGCATGGCAGGAATGCCTGGACTCAATGAGATTCTTAGTGATCCAGAGGTCCTTGCAGCCATGCAGGTAAGACTGAAGAAGAAAGTAAGACTTTTTAATCACTTAAGCATATCTTTTACATTTATGTTATGACAGAAGTCACTCTTAGTCATTCTTTTTTAATCTAAATTTGCAAATTGCTAATTTTGTGGGTGCAACATTGTTTTGGAGCGAGTAGGGTTTTTTGTTTTTGTTTTTTTTGTGGATCCAGGGATTGAACTCGGGTCCTTGTGCTTGCTAGGCAAGTGCTTATTCTACTGAGCCATCTACCTGGCCCCTGGAGTAAGTGAGGTAAGTTCTTTTTTTAAAGTTTTTAAAAATTGGTCTTAGTGGTCCGGGAGATGGCTCAGTAGAATAAGTGCTTGCCTGGCAGGTGCAAGGGCCTGAGTTCAATCCCTGGTTCTGCAAAAAAAAAAAAAAAAAAAAAAAAAAAAAAAAAAAATTGTTTTTAGGAAATAGTATTTGGTAATTTTATCTGTTTATTTTTGTTATCAGTATTGAATGTGCTTTATTTTGTTATCTAGTTTGAGTGAATTTAATTTTGAGAAATACACATTAATTAATACTTCAGGCTGCCTAAATTCCAGTTGATTTTGCCATGACAAAATTATCAGTCTAAGGAGATTGGATTTGGGATACTTGTAATACAGTGGGATACTTCTTAAATGCTAAAAAAAATTTTTCTTTGCAGGACCCAGAAGTTATGGTGGCCTTCCAGGATGTGGCTCAGAATCCTGCAAATATGTCAAAATATCAGAGTAATCCAAAGGTTATGAATCTCATCAGTAAATTGTCAGCCAAATTTGGAGGTCAAGCATAATGCTTATCTGACAAAGCCCTTCCTAAAAGAAAAGCAACCTGGATCACTTAATGGATGTTGCAATAATACGAGCCAGTGTACCTCTGACCTCATCAGGAGAGCTGGGTGCTGTGGAGACGATCCCTTCCCTCCTCACCAGATGGGGCTGAAGTGTTTCACAATGGTTTTTCATTAGGGTATTCATTCAGATAATGTTTTCCTACTAGGAATTA